ACCTGCATGACGTAGTGCTTAATTAGTTAAGTACAAGGACAACTTTACCTTTACCACACCCTAAAGGCGTATGGTGGGTGAAGGTGTAGCTCCATGTATTCTTAACCTTGGCATTGGCTAGAGGTGAATGGCCAGCTCAACGCTCTGACCTCTTCAATCTCTGTACCGCTTAGATGGCAGGTCACGTGAACCAGAGAACCGGTTTAGGCGCTGTAGCACCAAGACAAATTACTACCATTGCAGGGAATCGAACCCCAGCCGTCCTTCCACATATCCATTGACAGTAGTGACTGATATACATCAGCAGCTAATAATAAGTGTCAATATATTACTCCGAAACATTCCGGAAATTAGTTTCCGTAGACATCTCTTGCATAACCCGTGCATTTATTTATTAATGACCACAATGAAGAAAACTGTGAAGTTATAATTTCCCCTGAAGTTCTAACAGAATTCCTGGCACCACTTATATTTCCATCGCAAGAAAATGAGAAGCTTTCACGGCTCTGATGGTTCATGCTGTGGTCTTCTGTGTTACCTCGTTGTGTTTACTATGGCAGGTAGATACGTACGTGTCAGAGGAATATCTTCAGGGCTCTTCCCGAACGTTGATACCCACCTCCCAGATTACATAGTATCACAACCAAGAAGATGATATGAATTATTATGACGATGGAAATAATAATATAGCCAATAGGAATAAAGTTACAGACGAATGAAGAAAATTTCATAGTACGAGTTTCACTGTTTCTTCACACAATATTGTTAGGGCAATTTAATTACAAGTTATAAGGATGTAGCAGGATGGAGATGAACATAGAAATGCATAAATAATTTTGGTTACAAATCTTAAGAAATGAACTATTTCATAGATCTCGAAGGAGATGGAAAGGAAATATTAAAACTTACAGAAATATAGGCTGTGAATATGTGAACCGACTCACATACAATTCATTTTCTGGTTTCGTCGATGCCATGTTTTGTTCTGTTCTGTCTTCAACATTCAGTAATTAAGAACTGTGACCTTTTGTTGGTGGCAAGGTCATAGATTAAAGGATTCTAAAACCGTGTTATGTAACAATAAATCAGTGAAAGTGTGCTTTTCTTCTAACATCAACTGTGTCAAACATTCAGAAGAAATTCATGGTCATCATTACAATATTTTAGGTTTAATAATGAGAAACGACGGGCGAATTAATGAAAATGCTCAAAAAGCGTATTAGGATATCGAAAGAAGAAGACAAATACAAAAAAAATAAAGTAAAACAGAAACTGTGAGCACAGCAGATGGAAGAGACCGCACTGATAAGTAATATGAGAAAAGAAACTTCCTTTTCAGGTAAAAAGAGACGCTGTTATTCGGTGCAACTCGACTTGAGATCTGCAAATCGATCACAAGATCGTGAATAATATAAATTTTAATTTTACACGCCTGCAAAGCACATGATTTCTTAAAAGTTTTATAAATAGAATTATTACTTGAATGAACTGTTAGTTGCTTAGGTGTTTCTACCGTTCATTTAAATAACTAGCCGTGACAGCACACAGATGTGTATGATATATTTCGTCGATTAATTAACTAAACATATTATTTGAATTGTCTGTAGACGAAACGGTATCTTGGCTGAATTTCAAAGATAAAAGGTATAAAAAGATTCGCATCCAAGCCTTCTCTGAAAGCGGTATCAACCTCGGATCAAGTACGCCGTCGTGAACCCATTAGAGAAATAAAGTCTGGCTGCTGGATCACGTGGCGGCAATGGGTGCAAAACTGTGGCTTTGTAAAGCCGTGGTTTCACTGACTTCTTACTCGTTTTCGTGGTCCCTTCTTATAATGAAATTTCTTGTGCAAGGCGCTTAAGAAATTAACGAGGTGAATGTTCAAGTTAATCTCTGGTTTCGTCCAATTTTTCCTCTTTTAATAATTGATATTGATGTTACGGTTTTCTTTCAGTTAATGTGCCATTTACTCGTACTTTATTGAGAAGATTCTGAATAGAGTTTCTGTAGGAAATTCAAGCACATTTCTCCTGAATTTTCTCCATTTCTTCGCATTGTATTTCAACATCACAAAAGATTAACATAAAATTACCCACCCACTCGAGTGCGAGCTTATTCGTGTCCTGTACAAAGGAAATCTACTGCAGCACAGGATATGAGTCACTCGTGAATAAAAGTGTCCACCTCCATATATCATCGTTGCTCACCCATTAAGGAAGACGGGAAACGATGCATTGATCGCATAATAGAAATTTTCTGCTTCGGTTATCTCTCTACGTGAATGCTGTACATGACTAGTAACAACTTGCCAGATGTAGAAAAAGTAAGAAATTTGTAGTATCAGGCTGCCAAGAGAAACATGACATTGTGACATGTAGGCGTTTCTAGGAAACGAATTGGCAAACACTTTGCCACGGGGATAAATTCGTGGACGAAAACCATCGCTTGGTGTCCATGTATACAAAAAGGAAAAGGCGTAGACTTGTGGAAACCAAACAGTTGCTGCAGAATCAACAAAGGTTTCCTCAGCAACGGATAAGCACATAATAATACAGGAAATTTAAAGGATTTGGGATGAAGTGATCATTGTCCATTTTACGTCACTTTACCGGCAATCGCTTTTACTTCGTGAGCAATGCGACGACAATCTTCGGTCGTGAAACTGACGTCACAGCCAAGATTCAAACCCAACATCTCTCTAACAGAAGTGTAGCTCTTTACCGCTGCTCCATCCTGCTTGTTAATAATCACAGTTTGTTGCGTATTGTTAACTGTTTGTAAGTGAAATTATTAGCATTTCTCTGTGTGAGATAAAAACTAGAATTTGACAGATAAAGAGGTTTGCTCAGTAATTGACTTAATGGTGCGTAATATTATATAGAACCTTTCTCACCTTAGCATGTAATTAAGTGTGAGAACCTAATTAGTGGATATGTAGCTCTATATAAATCACGTCAATAATCAGTTGGAAGTTCATTAAATAATGAAAGTTGCGTGTATCTTTGATGGTACCACACAACAGAAGTTATTCATGTCAAAATTCAATATATTAACTTCACCTAGAACAGTAGGTCTATAATACATATCTGTTTGAAATTAGTTGACTCCAGTAATGAAAGCTGTAGACGAGAATCCAGTTGCTGAATAGTAAGAATGAGAGGTAAGAGATCCTCAATAGCCCTGTGACGTAGCTACGGGCTGGAATACTGTGGTTGGATCTTCGACATGAGCAGACATTTTTCTTTGCCACCATCAGATCTATGGCCACCCCCCATTCCAGTCATCCAGTGGTAATCGGGGACCGCTTCACCGGGTGTTGAACTTCAATATTCCTTTTCATTAGTACCGAGATTAAGATGTGTGGAGCTGTACCTCCACTCCCCATATGTTTTGCATGGCGTCGTGCTAAATTAAGCACAGGGATAACGTCCTTTTACCTTATATGAGAATATGTTGCTTGTTTTTTAGTCTATAAAGAGAAGTTTTCTCATCCCAGTGTTCGAGGGACGGGTTTGAGGAACATTACGATAATTAGTTCAGACTTAGTAGTACAGAAAGTCGATCCGGAAACTAATATATTCTGGCTTGTTATTTAACAAGGCACCCACCCATAGAAAGAGCCGGGATAGCGTAGTCGGTACAGCGACTGGCTACTAGCTGGACGACCGAAGGCTCGGAGTTCGAGTGCCGGTAGTGTCAAGATTCTTTTTTCTACATGTCTTCCAGACCGGTTCTGGGGTCCCCCAACCTCCTATCAAATGGGTACCGGGGGCTCTTTCCCCGGGAGTAAAGCGGCAGGGGTGTGAAGCTGACCATTCACCTTCAACTAGTGCCGAGGTCAAGAAAATATGGATCTATACATCCACTCCTCATATGCTTTCATGGCGTAGTGCTTAATTAGTTAAGCAAAAGGACAACTTTACCTTTTTTACTCACCCATAGAAATAAATCGTGCTAATTAAAGTCCTTACGCTTGTTTTATGACGTAGGTGATTATTAAGTTTCTGAAGGTTTACACATGCAAGAGCCCTATTAACAAGACGACCGGAGTAATAAGTCTCGCCGTCTTCAAAGATAAACAATAGGCCCTGCTATCCCACTAGAACCAGTCGGTGAGCACTGGGTTCCTCATGGTCGTTTACGTGCAGTGGCTAGGCTCGTCGAGATTTAGGAATTCAATAAAATATTTTTCTGTTTCTATTTAGAATATAAACTATCGTCGCTGACAGGTTAACAGTTCGGAAAGATCAAATATTTAATGCTGAAAGATGGGTCCAGCAATTTGAAGAATGAATTTTGATGCTAGATACCTGACCATGTATTTCAGATCTTGTCAGAATGTCTGCCGAGAAGAAATTCCCTGCCGACTGGCAATATTTCTGGGAGTATGGAGAAAGTTCAAAGAAGTTGCTTACTCAAAACGAGGATATTACCCTGTCTCAGCAGCTTGGAGGCAGCGGGTGGGTGTCAGCCTGTCGCTGCCCTACCCACGCAGCACAAACAAATCTTTGCTGCAGAGACAGTATGATGTCCTCTCGAGTCGAACCTTTCATTGTCGCGCGCATGGTAGTCGAGTTCATCAGGAAAAGATGTAGTAATATTCATTAGGCATTGTGGGCTCCGTGGCCTTCGTAAAAGTACAGACTGCTGTTCATTAAACAGCATTTTAAAGCCTTAGTAACCCACCATGAACAAAGAAAAATACGCGACACAGTTACTGTATGTAGCCAGTGACCATAGGTTTTGTGTAACCTGCTTTAACGAATATTTTGTCTGATTCAGAGTAAGGCTCAGTAATAGAGTTGACCTCATTATACGAGTAATATGGTGGAAGCAGAGAGATCGAACCTTTTTTTATTATTCCTATCTCAATTGAAAACATCCCATGATGTTAAATTAATTTTCGTTCAAAATTTATACCGTAATTTCTGTGAGATGCGACACGCTTTTTAACAAGAGCCTGGTTGTAAGCCCGAAAGGTGGGCGTGGTAATTACTTACCACATTGTCCTGACGATTGACGTCGGCCCCATGTTTGATGAGCTGCTTGACCACCTCCAGATGTCCCTCAGCTGCCGCCCTTTGCAGCGCTGTGCACCCCGACTGCAATGAATAAAACAGAAAAGAGCCGTTATGAAACAGATATGCTCCTAGAGATATTGTGCATAGTATTATGAAGATTACGTGCGATATACTTAATTTATAAGGGTTAATATACAGTTGCTCCTCTTTATAGAGCTTTCAGCCTATTATTTCCAATCTGTTTTCTACGCTCAGTACAAGTTTTGATGTAAATACTGAAGGGTTTTAGGGCAAAAACTGATACCAATGGCAGCCCTGAAAGTGGTTAAAAGCCAGTCTGGTCGGGCTATCGAGACGAGCTCTTCACGACGGAAGAAACTTAGTAGGAATATTCCATCCCTTGGCGAACGAGGGGTCGGAGTTCGAGCCCCGGTAGGGCCAAGAATTTTCACTTCTCTACGTCGTCCAAACTGGCTCAGGGACCCACCATCCTCATATCCAGTGGGCATTGGGGGCTCCTTCTAGGGGAAAGCAGACGGGGCGTGAAGCTGATCACTCACTTCCAACCAGTGTTGAGGTCAAGAAAACATGGGTCTATATATCCACTCCCCCATACTTCTTTATGGCGTATTGCTTAATTTGATAAGCACAGGAACAATTTTATCCTACATTTATGTCAGATAATGGTGTCAGTCAGTTTCCAAATCGTTGTGATTGAAAATGAAAGTCGATGAACACTGTGTGAAATATCTGTCATGTTCTTTGTAATACACAACCGTCAGAAATGCTTAGATTTTGTTTAATACTATATTGTTAAAATATGCGGCAATCTGATTGGATCTGAGGTCCTCTCAATGACGACTACGAAGAATGTTGTCTTCTGGGATGTGACACGTGTAGTCTGGTGGTGTCACATCCTAGAAAATTGTACCTTTCATTCTGTCAGTCCTTAAAAGCGTCTCAGTAGATCACTGCATGTTTAGTAGACACATCACCTGAAAATGTGAGTGGATGAAGTTACGTGTATATCTGAATAGTAAGGAAAGCGCGCAAGACCTCAGTCAGAAATGGTGAGCCTGTAGTGAGTCACAGGTATGATTCAATATGGCACCTGTAGGATGAATTTTAATACCGTCGTATTAAACCCGCCCAGGATATCTCATTCGAAAATTACATAAACTTGGCAGACGATGTATCTTTATAAGCTGAAGAACAGCTTCACGGGACCATGTTTTGCGCGCTTATTAATAGGAGTACTGCATGAACACGTGACCGCCACTGTGGTCTAGTGGTCAGAGCTTTTGGCTACAGATCCAGAGGTCCGGGTTCGATTCCAGGCGCTACCAGATTTTCTGAGAAGTAGTTGGTCTGGAGCGGGGTCCACTCAGTCTCGTGAGGATAACTGAGGAACTATTTCGAGGAAATAGCTGCTCCGGTCTTGAAACCCGAAATTAACGGCCGTGGGAATTCGTTGCGCTGACCACGTGACACCCTCTATCCGCGGTCGGTATAGTTCGCTTGAGGACTCAAGCTACGGAGTTTGTTTGTTTGCATGAACATGTAAAATAGACTATGTGAGTCGCAAAAACCGGAAAACTTTAATCGGAAGATTTAAACACAGAGTAACTTTTGAGTGTTCGTTGCAGCAACTCCTCTGTGAGGTAAAGCTCAAGCAAAAATATGAGGGCACCAATTTAGCTACAAATAAGGTGGCTGCTCTACATTTTGGAGATCTTTTGATTCATTCTATCCTTTCCGATAATTTCCATGGTTTCACTAATTTCTCTCAGAAGAATGTTTTCAGAGAAAAATAATATATTATGAATGGGAAAATATACTGAATCCAGAAGAACACATATTTCTTTTCAAAAGAGATTTCTGCGATATCGCATGCCTCAGTGTCTTTAGTATTTACTTTTCAAATTTTACAGATACAAACTAATCGAAAATTATTTTTGTTTTGGTAGATATTCAGGCAATCGAAAATACATCAAATAAAGTTTGGCGACCTCAGGGCCTTCCATATACTATATCTTTCCAATGTGCTAGATATTCATATTTTGGTCTTCTGAGTAAAATTTCTACCTTGAAGTTGAAAGCAATATATCATCCGAAACATCAGTACCGACCTATCAACTACACGGTACGTATTATAATCCAGAAGACAACAATACGAACATGTATTTCATGTTATGTAACATCTTTCTGCACGATGAATCATTCCTTCGGCAGTATATCATGAAGTTCCTTTTGAGCTCACGTCAAGTAGGGATTATATCAGATCGTTTCGGAAGAAAAATTAATTTCGTGAAGAAATTTTACTCCAGGTTCCAAACAGAGCCTACCAGATTTCATCTGAATTCCCAGAGTAATTTCGGAGATCGAACACAGGGACGGAAAGACACAATAGACGGACATGACCAACCACATCATGCGTGCCTTCGTGCACTTTATGGAAATGGCATAAAAACATATATGGTCATCATCATTCTAGACCTTTCAGATGAGCCATTTCCAATCTCTTATGAATCAGTCGTTCCTTCGCGGACTTATGGCTTTTATTTCAAGCTTAGATTGAATTTTATTTTCAACTTTAATTTTAGACTAGAATTGTTCGGTGTGTTTAAACAATTGCGAATAATCAGTGCAGCCGAATAAATTATAAAACCACTTACAAATAAATGAATAAACTAATTAATTAATCATAAAATGGAGGAATTTTCAATTGGGTAATAGGAAAGGATTCTCAACAATGGGTTCATAGCCTATTGTCCTGATGTTCATTTGGAAATTTTGAGGAAAACCACAAAAATCTCAGCCTAAACAATTAATTTAAATCTGGCCATTCAACTCCCGCGCAACTGGCAGGGCAGGTCGGAACTGCTTATGAAGTCTTCGTATATAAACTCTGACGTTCTCGCAGCGAAGATAATGCCTATTATTTCTTGACTTATTACACGATTTTCTTATTCTGGTCGGTAACTGCCAACGTTTCGAGCACAATGCTGCCAACTTACCATGAAGATGGAAGCAGGAAATCATTTCAAACTGTTGGTACTTGTTCAGTGTAAACCAGAGGTTATATGATTTTTCGGAATGTCCTATTGTCAGACTACATCACTATACCATAACATAGATGATCACAATATGAATTAGTCTGATTATAACTTCGTTTGGTCAACATAATCATTTTACGTTACTGCATATTTTTGTGCTAAGATCTCTAAATCATTGAAATAAGCGTTCATGAACCAACGAAATTAGAAATGTTTGCCGTTAATAGACATCTGTTCTATCAATGCGACTTTTCCTTCATTTACGCACATCATAGGCCTAGATCATCTGCATTCTTGCTATAGAGTCGTGTTAGGTACCCAGTTTAGTACTGAATAAAAAAAACATATTTATACCTACAGAAAGAGGAGCCACTTTCCTGCGGCGACCAATTACGGAGTGTAAAGATGTAAATAAAATAAAACAGTTTTGTTTCTCCATTACGCGGCCGTATCAGTTGCTGCGGTAGCCTTCTCATATTGCAAGAATATTGAATTTAACACCAGAAAACATGTTACCACGGCACACGATATAACATAGGAGAGGTTTGTAAATGCCGTCATAGCCTAGAGCGGTAACCGGCAAAGCCTGATGATTGGCTAGTTGGAATGAAGTGATCTGTAGCCAGAATCTTCTCAAATTGGTGTCCAGAATGTTTGTCGATTAACATTGCTACAGTCCGCGGAGGTTGTGATGGAGTGGTACTCATGCTGTCAAGATGTTACGGCTTAATAAATTGGAGCATGTTCAGTTCAGGGGGCAATGAAGTGAAACCGGCTCAACTACTACAGTAAATGATTTGTTTCTAAGGTCAATCACTGAGTAAAAGTTTAAAATAGAGTATATGCTGAATTTTACGCTCATAAAATACAAACAGAATAAATGATTGAGGGGGAACGCAGTAGTGTAGTTGGTTGAGGTACAAGCCGGAAGGTCGCCGGTTCAAGTGCCGATGAGGGCACTGAATTTTATTTAATTGACCTAATCCTTCCAGCCGCACTATAGCCCTGGGGTCAACTCAGCCTCTAACAGAAATGAGTACCAGGAATTAATAAAATAATTTTCCTGGGGAGTCAAGCGCGGCCGGCGCGTAAGGCTGACAATCTTACCTCCATCTTTTATCCAATTGTCTAGATAATGTGGGGACCCTCAACGTCTCACAACCCTATGGGTCTCCACGGCCTGTTACAGGGATACCTTTACTTTACTTTACTGTGATATCTACATTGAACCATCTACCATTTCGAACTATATAGGCTACATGTCGTATGAGAAATACTTGAACCGGTTAAAACAGACGTTCAAAATGTCCTTTATCACTGACTATTGAAGTAATTCAATTTATGATTTATGTGTATTTTAGGGGTACAGAGTTCATTTTCTACTTTACTTTAGCCAGTAATGAAGCCTAATTTTCATGTTTATTTTATCGAGTCGAGGCATCACTTTTTACCACACGTATCCTAGGTAGTTGGCGTAAAGTAGGTAGGTACCACAGTTCAGAACCATCATTTGCTTCAGTACAATTCTCTTCCTATCTCTCTCTCTCTCTCCTATATATATACGTATTACAATTCACAAATTTAATCGCGTCCACACTTGGCCTCAACGGTTATATCAGGAAGCTAGAGGTACTCGTTCATCCGCAGGGAGAATATCGTTTTCATAAAAATTAAGTAATTTAAACATGTAGTATATGGAGTTAGTAGACGTAGAAGAGGCCGCGCTATAGCAAAAACGGTTAGTCGCTGGCTTCCCACCGCGGCGGCCCGAGTTCGATCCCAGGTCTGGTCAAGTGGGATTTGTGGTGGGCAAAGTGGAGCTGGGGCAGGTTTCCTCCGAGTACTTCGGTTTCCCCTGCCAATCTTCATTCCACCAATTGCTCCACAATCACCCTCACCTATCATCTGGGGCTGGTACAATAGGCCAGAAGTGGCCGCAGTACAAGGGACTTAGTCCCACCCCACTAGCAATAAAAAAATAGTAGGCGTAGAAAATTTGTAAAACGTGTAGATATAATTTGTAGA